GCTCGTAAAAAGAATTATTTAGGCAAAACAATCGTAATCAAGCAGAAAACGCCATGATATTTCAATAATATATATTATTTCAATGCTCTTTTTAACCCCACCCCCCTTCCTTATGACAAAGACTACTTCTTTCGCCCTGTTATAAAAAGCAAACATATTTAAAATCATTTTTAATCCTTATGTGAATCAGTATGCATTAATTAAAAATCTGAGACGAAAAAACAACAAAAGTTCAACGCGCAAGATCATTACATACAGTTCAACTTTTGCCATATTTTTAGAAATCCGTGTTCACCGCGAACACCCCTGTCACCGAGTGTCGCCAATATTTTTCCTACCTTGAGACGGATTTTTATGAAACTTGCTTTATTACATTGAATATTCATTACAGATCGGGAAAATAGCATTATACTGGCAAGCAAAAATTTTCACTCTTATTGCAGGTGTCGTAACAGTATTTCACTTGAGGTTCACGTCAAATCATGGCTGACGCAAAATAATTCCTGAATCTTCCCTTCCGATTCGGGCATTTTAACACGAGACTGGAGCTGAATTTTTTTATGAGATGAAAAACAATATGTAAACTTCCTATATTGACTAGATTCATTAAAATTTAGGGCGTGCTGAATTTTCTATATACTGTATTTGAGTGGGGAGTGATTAGGTCCTGGACTTGATTTTCAAGCACCTGCTCGACTTCGAGCGAGACAAACTTGAGTGCCTTGCTGGATGGCTATGTATTTTTTGGTACTAAAATCTTTATAAAGAATTGTTTTACAAGATCTGAAAGGAAACTTCTCAAAAGTTTGTTTTCAATTAATACCACCTACTCAAAGTTGCGCATTTTTGGTAAGAATATATAGCAAAATTTAATACTGTTGTGCAACCCGCATATGACAACAGACAAGTTTCGAGCAACCTGAACCCGATCAAATTTGACACCCACTGTATCGCTAGATTTCAAGGAAAAAGATGTTTAGTTTGAAGTTAGACATTCCTTAATTTTCAGTAGATTAATTTAACCAAAATAAAATGCCAAATTCGATGTTTAATCAATTTGATTCTGTTTTTTTTTTTTTTTGGCATCAGCGTACGTAACAACGGAGCGCCCTCAAGCGACAAATTAAGTTATAAATCAAGAATGATAACTGAAATTCACTAATATTGGAAGTAATTATCGGGGTAGTAAACGCTAGACTCGCAATTTTCCAAACTTTTTAAAATTTAAAATTATAATTTTTAAATAGCTTTTTCGTTGCTCATTATCACTTTCTCTCATAACGTTTGCTGTTTTAATTTTTTAAGGTTTCAATATCCATACCATTGTATAGATTTGTACTACTCATGTTCATAATATTTTCTCAATATATTGCCTATTAAATTAGAACAAGCCTGAATATTTCCAAATCATTGAACATATGTAATATATATGCCCTGATGCATAACCATGTGAAGTTTCAAGTCAATTCTCAAACAATGACTTATCACGAAAATTTGATTTTGCCTGAATCCTACGTGGACCTGTACTTAACTTTCTTGTATTTACAAGTATTTCGATTTATAACAACAATTCTGTAAAGTTAATATACTCTTGAGTTTGATTTGCTTGTGGAAAAGGCATCAGGTGAAATATATTAAGAAAGTCCTTCTCATTGCTATTTTATGAATCCTGCATCTTATATCCTCACTTTGAATCCTGCATCATACCTAATTCTATAACATTTCAACTTATGGATAGCAGAACTGTAACTTTAATTGACTGGTCGCCGTAGCCAGGTGGTAGTGCGTTTCTTTGTGATCCAGAGGTTCCAGTCTTGATTCTCGTTTCCAGCGCTGCGTCAAACCTATTACGTTAACATAGGTATTGACTGTTCCTTCACTAGGTGCCTGGCATTAGAAGTGAAAGTCATGGGTCTTTCGGATATGACCTTAAAAACGGAGGTACGGTGTCACGGTTGCGTTGACACGACAAGCCTATCTTTTAAAAAGATTGGTGAGCTAGCGCTGTAGCATAATAAAATACAGAAGATATCTGAACCATTTGTTAAATTTGCTGAATCGATTAATTATTAATAAGAAGGCACATTGGAGCACTGGGTGTTGAGTCGAGGGGAGGGGGGGCATAATTCAGAATGGTGAATCTAAGAGTGGGCTTCACGTCGGCAATGGCATAACTCCTAACTGTGCTTTAAGCATTCTGTATTTTACTGTAATTTCAATTTGGAGGTGAAAAAAAGGTCAGTAGAACCAATGAGCACCTAGTTTAAACTATTCCAGTGTGGTGCTGTTTCTTAGCAATCGCATCTTCCCGGAACTTTCCGGCAAGCTCGGTAAACATATCCGAGATTGCCGCAGTTTTCCGAACTTGCCAGAAAAATCAATAAAGGTAGATTAGAAAAGCTAGGTATTCATGCATTCCAATTTTAGAAATAACAGTCTTTGTTTTATAAGACCCGAGTAATTGTTACTTTTTGTTCATTTACGTGCAGGATAGACAACAAAAAATGAAACTTCAGATCATTTGTATTTTCAGATGATAACAAGAGCCCCATGGGGCACATCGCTCACCTGAGCACACTGGCTAGGCAAAAGCACAAATCAGTTCAGTATTGAAAAGATTACCGGGGGGGGGGGTCTTGAATTTTAAACTACCTGATGATGCTTCCATGTCAAAATAACAAATGGCTTTGTTATACTTGAGAAGATTTTAAAAAAAATTTCCCATATATTCCTTTGTGAAAATTTGATCCCCCATTGTGGCTCCTCCCTATCCCAGGGGTCATCATTTGAACAAACTTGAATCTACACTACCTGAGGATGCTTCCATATCAATATGACTAAACATAGCTTTTCTGTTCTTGAGAAGAAATATTTTTTCTATATGTTCTTATGTAAAACTTTGATCCTCCATTGTGACCCCACCCTACCCCCGGGGGTCATTATTTGAACAAAATTGAATTTACACCACCTGAGGATGCTTCCATATCAAAATGACTAATCATGGCTTTGCAGTTCTTCATCAGAAGAAATCTTCCTATATATTTCTATTTCAGACTTTGATCCTCCATTGTGGCCCCACCCTACCCCAGGGGGTCATGATTTGAACAAACTTGAATCTACACTACATGAGGATACTTCCACATAAATATGATCAATCAGGGCTTTGCTGTTCCTGAGAAAAAGATTTTTAAAGATTTTTCCTGTATATTTCTATGTAAAACTTTGATCCTCCACTGTGGCCCCAACCTACCTCGGGGGTCATGATTTGGACAAACTTGAATCTACACTACCTGAGGATGCTTCCATATAAATATGACCAATTAGGGCTTTGCTGTTCCTGAGAAGAAGATTTTAAAGATTTTTTCCTGTATATTTCTATGTAAAACTTTGATCCTCCATTGTGGCCCGCCCTACCTCCAGGGGGTCATGACTTGAATAAATTTGAATCTACACTACCTGAGGATGCTTTCATATAAATATGACCAATTAGGGCTTTGCTGTTATTGAGAAGATTTTTAAAGATTTTTCCTATATATTTCTATGTAAAACTTTTAGCCTCCATTGTGGCCCGCCCTACCTCCAGGGGGTCATGACTTGAATAAATTTGAATCTACACTACCTGAGGATGCTTTCATATAAATATGACCAATTAGGGCTTTGCTGTTATTGAGAAGATTTTTAAAGATTTTTCCTATATATTTCTATGTAAAACTTTTAGCCTCCATTGAGGCCCCACCCTACCCCCGGGGGTCATGATTTGAACAAATTTGAATCTACACTACCTGAGGATGCTTCCATATAAATATGACTCATCATGGCTTTGCTGTTCTTGAGAAGAAGATTTTTAAAGGTTTTTCCCATATATTTCTATGTAAAACTTTGATCCTCCACTGTGGTCCCGCCCTACCCCCGGGGGCCATGATTTGAACAAATTTGAATCTACACTACCTGAGGATGCTTCCATATAAATATGACTCATCATGGCTTTGCTGTTTTGAGAAGAAGATTTTTAAAGGTTTTTCCAATATATTTCTATGTAAAACTTTGATCCTCCACTGTGGCCCAGCCCTACCCCCGGGGGTCATGATTTGAACAAACTTGAATCTACACTACCTGAGAATACTTCTACTTGAGTTTCATCTTCCCTGGCTTTGTGGTTCTTGAGAAGAAGATTTTTAAAAGATGCTATTAATTTTTCACTAATTCTTTATTATCTCCCCTTGAAAGAGGGCGTGGCACTTCATTTGAACAAACTCGAATTCCCTTCACCCAAGGATACTTTGTGGCAAGTTTGGTTGAAATTGGCTCAGTGGTTTTTGAGAAGAAGTCGAAAATGTGAAAAGTTTACAGACAGACGGACGGACAGACAGACAGACGGACAGACGGACTACTGACAAAATGTGATGAGAAAAGCCTTCGGCTCAGGTGAGCCAAAAACTAAACTGACATGTATTTCTGACATACTCTAAAAAGATTTTTTTTTCCGAGCTTGCCGAAATTATCCAGGAAGGTGGTATAACTGTTAGGAAAGCTAGATGTCTAGAATCTTGGCATTATATGACCTAAGTTTTTCTTGTAGTTTTATGTGTAGGTTAGTGAATAAATTAAAAAAAATTCAGAATCCGGATCTAGACTGGCATTGACGTAAGAAATGTATATCGTACATATCAGACAGGAAAGGCTAGTGTAAATTCAGATCATATCTGACAAAACGATATTGTTATCGCACAGTCTATCTACAGTAGTTTTCCCAGAATATCCGACCGTGAAGTCGAGCATGCGTATTCCAGAAATATAGACTAACGTAGTTGCTAGCGCTCGAGAGCGCTAGCAATCAAGAACCCTCACTTTTCAATAGCCGTAAGTGCCGAGTATAGGTCTAAACTTGAAGCCCTTCACCGGCAGAAGGTGATGTCACTATTTGAGTGAAAAATTCTCGAATGGGACGTTAAACTTAATTGAAATAATAGAAAATAGCTGTCGATATTACGTTTATTTACCTGACATCTCTGTTTTCCACACTTCGTAGCCATCAAGATGTATTCCAGCTAAAAAAAAGACAAAAAATTTAAGCTATATGATTGTGAATAAACAAAAACTATTTCTTAGAATTGGAGGCAAAGGGTCAATGTTTGATAAAAGAATGTAGTGGGAACTTTGTAAAAGATTCTCCAAATCAGGGTTATTTTTAATCCAGTGAATATGTAAACGAAAGAATACTGAAAGAAATGCGGAAAAATATCCAAAAAGTGGTTACATGTCGCACACAATTCATGCAAATGTGTGCAAATTATTATTGCTGGTGCTAATATTAAGAATGTTTTTTTCATATAAATTTTTTGCTGTATTGTAGCTGAACTCTTAACTAGGGTCATACATTTAATATACATACATACATACATACATATATATATATATATATATATATATATATATATATATATATATATATATATATATATATATATATATATATATATATATATATATATATATATATATATATATATATATATATATTCGTATATTCGTACACTATGAGGAGACTAGTGCATAGAATTTTTTTAATGGTTACTAACAATTATTTTTAAGCTGTAGGTTATTAGGTTGTCATTAAATCAAAGCTTCAATTTTTTTTTTAAGAAAACACATTTTTATAAAATATATCTTACTTTGAAATATCAATCTGATATCTAAATATTTAGTCAAGATTAATTGTTTTTTTTTTATTTATTTAATTAATTAGTTAATTCTGTTTTGTTTTTGAGATTTTTTTTTTTAACCTCTGCCGCGAGAATTTTTTACTTATATAGAGATGTCACTCCATTAAATTTATACCTTCACTCGGCACTCAGGGCCATTGAATAGTGATGTTTCTTTATCTTGAAACGCCTACCGTGATACGGGACCTCTGTGTATCTGAAATGCCCTCTAAGGCTAGGGAGCTTGGTGAAGGAACAGTCATTGGCAATGTTAAGGTATATAAGGTTTGACACGGCTCCAGGAATGAAAATCGAACACGGTGTTGTAGAGTAGGATTTCCCCCATAGACAGCCCCCCCCCCCCCCCCCGGAAACTGTACTCTAGAGTAGGATTTCCTCCCGAGGAGAAATCTCACCCTATAGAGCCAAATTTCCCTTTTTTTTGTTTTTCAGTGTAGGATTTCCCCTCTTTTATGAATGCTTAAATCATACCGACAATATTTGGCTAAAAGTAAATATGAAAGTCAACTGATTTTTTTATGGAAATATGAGTGTTTTCGACTCAAGAACTATCGAATTAAATATGAAATCTTAAAATATATACTTCAGATCATTGGTTCTCAATCCAAACTTTTGAAATTACTCACTCAAAATATCGTAAAACTCGATGTCTCAATACCCTCTCTCGGCGCAGCGGTACGTGTTTGTTCACAAATTTTAAAATTATATCAGGTCACTTTTAGTCATTGGATAATTTGTTTGCCCTCTAAAGGCCCAGTATTTCACCTATGTATCGATCCTTTTTACAAAGAGTGCGTATGGAAATTTTAAACTTTGTTTCTGATGGGTTCAACATGCCATTTAATGAGTATTTAAATTGAATAGTTCCTCAAAGGGATAAAAAGCCAAAACCATAAACAAAACAATATGAGAAACGTTGCTTTTGCAAGCCGAAGTATAATGTAGATCCTCGATGCAATAATGTCACCCTCTCCCTTTTATATGGGGGGGGGGGGAGGGGGGGGGGAGCCCTTTCCAGAAAATATCAGATAAAAAATTCAGAGAGGGCTACATTATTGCGGCTACTTCGATCCCAGCGATGTAATATTGGATTTAAAAGCAGACAGCAAGTACTCTAAAACTTTTGCAAAATTTCAAATTTTTAGAAATAATCGACCCATTTTTAGATCCATGGCAATAATTAAACAACGGAATTTTAAGGAGACACTTACACATCAATATTATGTACATGAAGTTTGAAATACAATTCCAGAATAAAAAAATCATGTAATATAAAATTCCTTTTTGGTTTCTATGAACAGTTAAAATTTTTCCGACCGATAACATTGTATTTTTTTTTTTTTTTAGAAATGACGTTTGGCCAAATGAAAAGAATAAGATTTTAATGCTCAAAAAAAAAAATTAATTGGTTGGACGATTTAAAATGTTCATTTTTCATACGTCTTATGTTTGAATGGAACTTAGCTTGTCGCCATTCTGAAGAAGGGACACTTGTAACAATATGTTGCCCCCTTCCCCCTCATACACAAGTACAGCTATGGTATCTGATGGGGGGAAATTGGCTCTGAGGGAAATTACACTCTATAACTATTAAACAGAGTAGGATCTCCACCCCGGAAAATTTAATCTGGTGTGGGATTTCCGTAGGAGAAATCCTACTCTAGAGTCATTTTTCCGCGCGGGGGAAATCGTCCTCTAGAGCCTATTTTCCGGAGGAAAATCCTACTCTAGATCCGGGGGAAAGATTTTAGAGGGGAAAGCCTACTCTACAAGACCGGTACCAACGAGCGCCCTACCACTGCAACCGATTATTTAGTAAGAAGACCACCTTTTAACAGAATTTCAAGTGCTTAATTTTTCTACTCAGTAAAGAGCATTACCGATAAAATAGGAAGTAGGTATCTTACGAGGGGCATCTGAAAAGTTCAGAGAACTGTTTGATATAATACTAACTGTTTCATGGAAGTTAATAAATTTGATACCATTCAAAATAGCTCGAAAATTTACACTTTTTCCGATGTAACTTTCTTATTTTTCATGGCGTAATAACTCTGAAAATGACGTCAGAGTCTTGAATGTTAGCATACTGAAAAGTCGCGGTTTTTTTTACATGAGAGGATAGGAAAAGTGCTGTCAAAGGCTTCTTTGAAAAGGTATTTTGAAGAAAATTTGTACGGAGGTAGAGTAAGACTGAAAGAATGGTAATGTATATCAGCAATTCCTTATTTCATTTTATGGTTGGTTTAAGCACGATTTATGTCCGGTTATGCTATTAATTATAGGCATTCATTTAAGATTTTTATTCAGATAATACAGCTGGACTTTCGGTCTATTATATAGCTCTCCATTGTATTAAACAAAACATGTTCTGTATAAACTGAAGTGTATCAACGCAGTTTTCCACAATTGTATCTTGAGTAACATGACTCATACCGTTTAGGAATAAAGCGTAAAAAAAAGTCTTGTTTCTGTGCGTTTTGTTTTCAAATTATTTCAACTTCGGCACTCCAAAACTCATTATTGCTTCTGACTTCCGACTAAAAAAATGAATCTGAGTTATATTGCATTGTAAAATCTTATTTATTTTCCTTGGGTTAAAATTTGCGAATATACTGAGTTACGGTTGGGTTAAAACTACGCAGGTGCTATTTTGGTTTTTACGAGAAAATATGGGACACCCTAAACTTAACTTCTCTTGAGATTTAATCGTTTCCACAAAATTGTTTAATGCATCTGACGAATTAATGCCAGCAAATTCTGTAGCACCATGTATCCACTATTCTCCTTTGATTGTCAACTTTGTCATTTTCTCACAGCTAGGTCTTTTTTACGCAATATTTTCAGCGAGATTCGATAATAACATGCTGTGTTTGATACACGCTTAAACCACCTCAAAATTATAGGTTCTCCTAAATAAAACAACATATGATAGATTGTAGTCTATGTAAAAATTCTCCCAACTGGCATTTGTGTCCGTTAGCGTGCATCCGAGTAATGAGCAAAAGTAACTTTGAAATTTCAATTCTCTTAAATTGTGTCTCTTGTTACGTCACGTCATTTTTATGGTCCCTATGCTAAACACGTGGGATTCTTACGTCATTTTCGAAGTTATTACGTCATAAAAATTATAAAGTGACGTCACAATATGTGCATATTTTTCTGATCTTTCCAATGGTATCAAACTCAATAATTTCCGCTAAACGGTTAATATTTTATCAAACAGTTCTTAGAACTTTTCAAATGCCCCTCGTATTAATTTTTAAATTGATTTGCAATACTTCAAAATTGTGCACCATATTTCAATTCAATTCCTCAAAAATTCAATCAACAATTTATAGTTTGAACCAAGACGTCCAGAAACAAAAAGTGACGGGAAGACAAAAATGATAGATGGATTAACAAAAAACATTAAAACATATACATGAAACTGTTGCCCACTTTATTCACAACAAGGAGTAAAGAAAATTCTTTTTATGCCCATTTGTTGATATTTTTGTGAGAATTTTTCGATATTACATAAAATACATGTTCTTTTAGATTATATCCTTGTTCCTAAAAAGGAGGTTACTTAAACCATAGGTTTTCAAAATGTCCAGACCACTATAAGATCAGTTAACAGGCTTTTAGTTCAGGTGGATAGGTCGACTAAACATAACTAACTAAAGATTAGTTTTTTACAGGAAAATAGGAATGCAAATTTCCAATATAATATGTGCTTTTAAAAATATTTCATTCTCACCTCTCCTAAGCTCTTCCAAACTGATTCTATCACTGTCCTCCAGCTGTTTTGAATAACTGTTTATCCCCTCTGGAACGTCTTCATCCAGTGAGAAATATTCTTTTTCCCTATTGTCTTCAGATGAGGAGTCTGTCGTCTCGTTGGTTTCATCTAAATGTAGTGTGTTGTCATGTTTTCCTGCTATATAATTTTTCAAGGATTCATCATTGGACTTCTTTTCTCCTCCCTCTTCCTCAGTTTTTACTCTGTTTATTTTATCTTAAGGGAAAATATATGTTACTCGAGAATTGATATGGACATACAAGACTTTACAGATGTAAATTTGTAGTAAAGCATTAATGCAGTTAATTAACTTTTGTACATAAAGTATCCAAAAAATAAATAGAGAACATTCAATGTTTTGTAGATGAATATGGAATTTATTTCACGAGTGGAACAGGATTTTTTTATACTTTCACGAGTGCGAAGCACGAGTGAAAATATCATAAAATCCTGTCTCAGGAGTGGAATAAATTCTATATTCATCTACAAAACATTGAATTTCCTGTTTATTACATGTACATTATCTTAGATTTTCCCTTTGCCTCTGTCTTTTCGTAACACAGTGCCATAGGCTGTGACGTCATAGTTGAGCGGTTGAGACGTCATAGCTAAGCGATTGAAAGATTGAAAAAAGTTGTTAACATGGATTTTTAACGACATATTTGGAAAAACTTTGGCAGTATAACTATTAGTCTCCGTCAGGATGGCTCATTAACAGGCCGGGGATTTTTTTTTTAAAAACACTCTTCATGAAGGGAAGGAAGTTCGTAAGTTTTGCCGCACTTCTGATATTCTCACACTGTAAGAATACCATTATGATATCCTTTCACACTAGGTCAGAATATCACTTTTATTCGATAAATAAATTACAGTATTTCACTGTTGAAAATGTAATAAAAAAGGTTATACATTTCTTTTTACATATTGAGGATATTTATAAAAGGTAAACATTTCTGATATGATTTATAACAACATTTTAGAAAAATCCCACTGTGTACAACAACAAAGGCAATTGCTAATAAATGCAATTTAACAGACCATATCCCTTTAAGATTAATCTTCATGTTCTTAATTTCAAATCAATTTAGTACTCATAATTAGTTTCATACTGAACGAGTTATTTAGGATCCACTGCGAAATAAACAAAATTTAGTACTCTTATTTCTAAACCGTATATTAAATATGGCAATATTCGTGCAAAAAAGTAAACATACTATTTCACAAGAACGTTTTCAATGCATGTACACAAATCACTACATTGTTATCTCAAAAATAAAATTTAAGTTTAAATTACACAATATCCAAAGAATAACTGCATCATTAACCTTGAAAACCTAAAGGAATTGACCTATTGCATAACTATTACACATGAGCAATAATAATTCCCTCTCTAACGTAGGGGCGCGGGGGATATACATGTAACAATCAACATCTCAATACTACATTTTCAAAAAAAAAAAAAAAAAAATTAAATGCGTTTACTATAGAAAAGATTTATTAATAAATTACCTCTAAAAAATCTAAAATATTTCTTTTTCATGGTTGCTAACAATTATTGCCCACCTGTAGGTTGGCATTAAACCAAAGTTTAAAAAATATGTCAGAAAACTCATTCTTATAAAAATATATATACTTTATTTTGAAATATCAATTCTATACCTAAAGATCTTCAAACAAATTTTCACGTGATCTTCTACTCTGCAAAGAGCAAACCGGTAAAATATTTTTACCGGTAAAACAAACAGTAGGAATCTTTTAAATTTTCAAATTAATTTGCAGAACTTTCAAATCTCTGTACAATGTTTTCATCCTATTCCTCCAAATCTGAGTTACACACTTTATAGTTTAAACAAAGATTTATAGAAACGAAATGTGTTGAAGAGATGGAAAGACAGAATGTCAGTCAGAAAATATTACATGAATTATAGTCTATTCTATTCACTAGAAGTGCGAAAAACTTATATTTCAACTTTTTTTCACATTTTAGGGATATTTTTTCGATATTACATAAAATACATGTTCAATTAAATTGTATTATAGTACTTTGAAAGCAGGTTAATTTATGTTAAAGTTTTTTTTTTTTTTCAAATAGAACCACTCAAAGATCGGTTAACAAGCTTTGACCTAAGTTTAATGATTTACCTACATTTCGAGAAAACGGGAATGTGACTTTCCAGTATTGTATTCCCAAACACAGTTCAATCTCACCTTTCTCAAGCTTTTCCGAATTGATTCTATCACTGTCCTCCTGTTGTTTTAAATAACTATTTATCTCGTCTGAAACGTCTTTTATTTAACGAGGAATATATATCCAGTTATAATAATATGATATGTGGCGAGATGTATTTATCATTTTTTCCCATATTGGGCACATTAAAAATAGGTAAACATTGCAAATATGATTTAAAACATCATTAAAAGAAAAAAAATCGAAAAATCCCAATGTGTATAACCATAATTTAAAAAAAAATGCTAATATATACGCAATTTTACAGTTCATTTCCATTTAAGATTGATCTTCATTTTCATAATTTCAAAATAAAATTTATGCTCATAGTTACTCTCATACCGAACATTAACTTTTGTCTCTTATCCCTCTATATCAGTTAATATTGGTGAATGAGGAAAGATAAATGGTGCTATAATAACATTTAAAATTAAATCAATATCAAGAAAAGTTTTATGCAGGGCCCTCTTTAGAAATGTGTTTGCTTGCCCTCTCCCGACTCAGGATGAAAACATTGGGTCGGTAAGTGGGGAAAAATTTTTTATTCAAAAACACTTGCGAATATGATGTAACAGTTATTAATGTGATGAGATAACTTTGAAATAATTTTTTTAAAAGTTGTTTTCTGGATGTTAAAAAAAGTTTTGAGTCGGGGCATTTTTTGTAAGTCTGTCGGAAGAGGGCAAACAAATTCATTTTAAAGTCAGTTTGAAACACTACTCTTACCAAGTTCAAGCATCATGAAACTTGAAACCTTTGTCTTAGAATTTTTAAATGTTTTCAATGACCGTGAAGACGATCTCTAGCGTGTTTTAGACCTTTCCAGTTAAATTCACCATAAAAAAGAGTCAAATAAGCACGATTTTATAATATTCACAAATTGCTATTATTTCCATCATAATTATTAAAATATGAATTAGAAAATTAGAAACTTGTACATCTGTCTCCAAATGTATTTTCTTTGTCCAAGGTTTTTGGATTTGCCGGCAACAGTAAAACTTCAGAATCTACATCTTGTTTCTCTTCACTTTTCCGTCTTTTATCATTCAAAGGAATTTCTTCTGCAAATAAAACGATTTCACTTTACTCCTATACTTTACCAGATTCTCTTTATATGACAGAGGAATTTTACATACATCTATTCCATTTTTTTCAATTTCTTTGACTTGATGTAAGAGATCCAATTCCAGTAAAGTAAAATATTTTCTATACATTATCTGAGTATGTTTCATTTACAAGTCTTTTCATAACAAGGGCACTGAAAGGCGAAGCTTCCTTATGTCACAGCAATTATTGTAAGAATATTAGCAGTAAGGGACCACTGCGAAATGAGACAACTTTCTGTCCCTTATTTCTAAACCATAAATAAAATAGGGCAATATACGTGCAGAAAGCAGGCACCCTTGTGCATAACAATATTTAGATGTAAACAATGTCGAACAATGTACAAAAAAAAACAATACATTTTATTATATCACAAATAAAAATTTAGTTTTAATTACAATTACTCTGAAGTTGACATTAAAAAGATGCTTGAGTTTCTGATTGACAATATCTATGTGGTTTTTGGAGACCAGGTCTTCCAGCAATCTATTGGAATTCCCATGGGTACCAATTGCGCCCCGTTATTAGCAGACATTTTTTTGTATTCATATGAAGCAGAATTTGTCCAAAATCTTGTACGTGAAAAGAAGAAAACACTTGCTGTGGCCTTCAACTCGACATTTAGATATATCGACGATGTATTGTCAATTAACAATGGCTATTTTCATTCTTATGTCGATACGATATATCCTGGTGAGCTTGAGATAAAAGATACCACAGAGTCCGACACATCTGTTTCATATTTGGATATTTTACTTGAAAAAGACGCTAATGGTAATCTAACAACCAAGCTTTATGATAAACGTGATGACTATAACTTTTCAATCGTCAACTTCCCTTACTTATGCAGCAATATACCTTCATCACCTGCATACGGGGTATATATCTCTCAGTTGATTCGATACGCAAGAGCATGCTCTACGTATGAACAATTTCTTAAACGAGGTAAATTATTGACAAACAAGTTGATGAAACAAGAATATCAGCTGTCTCGTTTAAAGTCATCATTTCGAAAATTCTATGGTCGATACAATGACCTTGTCAGCAAATACAATTTATCATTGAGTCAAATGCTGACTGACGTTTTTCATCCTAATTTTTAGGCCATTATTTACACACTGAATTGTCCACGGATTTTTCCGTTATTTCCCGATCATGTCAAGGAGCACACGGCGGGTGTGACCGGTCGGCAGGGGATGCTCACTCCTCCATGGCACCTGATCCCACCTCTGATGTTTAGAGGTCCGTGTTTGCTCTGGTCCTATTTTGTATTGTTTAATGGACTTTTTGAGCTTGAATACTGTTCGTTATCTCCATATATTTCATTACGCGATATCCTCAGAATTACTTCACCAATAACCTTGAAAACTTATATAATTTGATCTATTCCATTTCTATTATACAGTATACACTTATTTCATGACTACGAGGGGAACAGTCAAACTCTTGTCCCGAGATAATGGGGAAGACCTGGGAAACGGCCAAGAGTTTCCCAGGTCTTCCCCATTATCGAGGGACAACAGTTTGACTGTTTCCTGGGGGTCATGAAATAAGTGTTTTATTACCTAACCTACCATATAATTTCTAAAAGTAATGATGTAGACAGAATAAATAATTGATTTTAAAATACACCGACAAAAATTTGTATTATTTCTTGAAACCAAACTAAACAAGATGAATATTAATCAAATTCTCACACCAATTTTTGTAAAATTAGACAAATTAAGAAGGGAATGTTAGATTCCCTCTGCAATGCATTTGGCTCGGGGATAATAATTGATATCTTAATCCTACATTTCCAAAAAGTTTTAATTGCAATTACTAAATATTGTAAATCACTTTTTATTTGCGAAAAACTTTATTTTTGCGTAACTACTCTAGGCCATCTGATTTCATTTTACTTTTAAAATCCAAAATTAAATACATGTACCAATATAGCATTTCATACAACCCAGCCTCAGCTTTAATTACTTTAAATACGTTAATTGCGTTATGAAAAATTGATACCTGTGTTTATGCATTTTTTATTCATTTTTTTAGTTGGTCTGCAAAAATAACCGCTTATGATACAGTTTTAGTCGATTTTTTTAATGGTAAATCTTAATTCCATATTTAAAACAATGTGAGTGTACAATATGAAGTAAAGGGAAGGGTACCGGAATTTTTTTAAAACACGAAAGCTGTTATACTTCTGGACTTTTCTGGGTGTTTCACTCGTAACATGTTGTTACAAGAGGCCCACGGGCCTTATAGGTCACCTGAGTATCATGCAACAACTTTCCAACAATTGAATTTGGTTCGTGATTTAAACCAGAGGACATGAAATTCACAGTTTTGAAAGAGGCGCCATTGGCAGATCAGAGGAACAAAGAAAAATGCATTTCCACTAGCTAATCAGTATGCACCACCCAACAGGAACCCCTCACCCTGGGGCCACATATTTCACAATTTTCGAAAAGGCACATAGGGTCTTTGCTCATCATGAATGGTTGATTAATATCAGAGAGCAGATTTCAAAGCATTAATTCATTTTGAGTATATGATCATTAGAGCCCCCCCCCCCCCCGATCCAGGGGCCATGAAATTCATCATTTGGAAGAGGCACCTTTTTTCATCGTAACTATGTACTTAGATCATCGACATCATACCCGAGACCAGAGGAGTAGATTTTCAGAAAATTAATCCATTTTCAATATATAATCATTAGAGCCCCGCCCTAACACCAGAACCCTTGACTTAGTGGCCTTGAAATTCACAATTTTGGAAGAAGCACCCTTTCTCATCATAACCATGTACACAGTTTACTGATTTAGTACTCAGGAGCAGAGGTGAAGATTTTCAAAGAATTAATGCATTTTTACTATATAATCATTAGAGCCATCCCCCTCTCCAACACCAGAACTCCTGACCCAGGGACATTGAAATTCACAATTTCGGAAGAGGCACCTTTCCTAACCATAACTATGTACATAGTTAATCGGCTTAATACCCAGGAGCAGAGAAGATTTTCGAAGAAATAATGCATTTTCACTATATATTCAACAGAGCCCTGCCCTAGCAATAGAACCCCTGACCCAGAGGCCGTGAAATTCACAAATTTGGAAGAGATACCTCTCCTCATCATAACTATGTACATAGTTTATCGACATAGTACCAAGGAGCAGAGGGGATGATTTTCAAAGAATTAATGCATTTTCACTATATAATCATTAGAGCCCCACCCTAACACCAGAACCCCTGAACCAGGGGCCGTGAAATTCACAATTATGGAAGAGGCACCCTTCCTTATCATAACTATGTACATAGTTTTTGGCTTATTACCCAGGAGCAGAGAAGATTTTTAAAGGAATAATAAATTTTCACTCTATACAACAGAGCCCCGCCCTAGCACCAGAACACCTGACCCTGGGGCCATGAATTTCATAATTTTGGTAGAGGGCTCAAGCTTATTACAATCATGCCAACTGCTTGATGTCCAGGAGTAAAGGAGAAGATTTTTAATGATTGCATTCATTTTAGTGGTTTGGGTCACCCCTCGGGCCCCAGGGGGGCAGGGACCATGAAATTCACAATTTCTGTTCCCTTTACCCATAGATGCTATATTCCAAAATTCGTTCAAATTGGTTGAACAGTTTCAGAGAAGAAGTTGAAAATGTTCAAATGTTAACGCACGACGGAAGACGCATGACGACGGACAAAAACAGATAGCAATAGGTCACCTAAGTGACTCAGGTGACCTAATATGGACATTTGATAATTTTTGTGTATTCTTTGAATTGTTTGCTTGTGTCATAGCATGAAAATGCAAAAAGAAGAAAGAAAAAAAACAGTCTATGATATAGGTCATAAATATTTAAATAGTTGTGTCTGAAAATCTAATTTATTCTATGAAAGGTCATATTCTCCGGTTTAACTTGAGTCTGAAATGTTTTCTCTCATCTTGAACATCTGAAGACAATATTTAAACATTTATTTTTTTATGCTTCAATTAATTGCGTGATTTCCGATTAATTACCAAAGGTGTATACAAATGTTTTATGATATAGATGTACTAAATAGATCAAATAATTAGAAGTTACATAACACTGTTCACTTTATTTGAATAATTAAAACGTTTTCGTAAATTATAAAGTATTTCATTTTTTAAATCAAGATTACAATAAATTGCTGAAAGAATTCTCTGTTTCTGATTTTCTCTGAGGCAAAAAGAAAGTTTGTATTTTTGTTTTTAAGGAAAATATCATAAACAAAATACTAGTAGTTGTTAAGATAAAAACGATGATCGATCTTTAAAAAAAAAACCTTACAAACAATACAAATCTGTGAACAGGCTGTAAAACACGGACCCAGGGAAAATTATTAAATGAAAATGTTGTAAATAGGATATATGTATATGACTTAATACTCTGAAGTTGATTGATTGATTGATTGTATGTTGTTTAACGTCCCTCTCGAGAATTTTTCAATCATACGGAGACGCCACCACTTGCCGGTGGAGAGCTGCAAATTTTGTCTTATACTCGGCACTTACGGTTATGAGCAGTGAGGGATCTTTTTCGTGCCAGCACTTACTGCGACACGGGACGTCTGTTTATACGGTCTCGTCCGAAGGACCGGTCTCCACGTCCCACAGCGGGGTTCGAACCCGCGATGTAAGGATCAACTCCTTACTCCACGACTCTAGAGCAGACGCTCTAACCACTGCGCCACGCGGGCGACCTGAAGTTGATATTAAGAAATGCTGGAGTTTGTCATAGAAAACATTTATGTAGTCTTAAGAGGTCTCTCAATAAACTGTTGAAAATTCTATGGGCACTTATTGTTCGCCATTATTAGCCGACCTGCTTTTATGTTCCTACGAAGCAGAATTTATTCAAAAACTTTTACATGAGACGAGGAAAACACTTGCTGTGGCCTTCAACTCGACATTCGGATATATCGACGACGTTTCATCAATTAACAATACATGTATGTACTTCCATTCATATTACTAGTATCGACTCAGTATATCCTAGTGATCTTGAAATAAAAGACTCCACAGAGTCCGACACATCTGTTTTATCTGTGGATGTTTTACTGACTATAGACGATACAGGTCAACTAACAACTAAATTGTATGACAATTCAATTTCCCTTATTTATGAAATAACATTACGCTAACACCTTCATAGTGTGTTTACGTCTTCCGGCTTTTTCGATACTCAAATGCATGCTCTGAGTATTATCAATTTTTAAACCGAGTCAAGCTGCTGACAGATAAATTTTGTCGCCCGCGTGGCGCAGTGGTCAGAGCGTCTGCTCTAGAGTCGCGGAGTAAGGAGTTGATCCTTACGTCGCGGGTTCGAATCCCACTGTGGGACGTGGAGACCGATCCTTCGGATGAGACTGAATAAACCGAGGTCCCGTGTCGCAGTAGGTGCTGGCACGAAAAAGATCCCTCACTGCTCAATGGCCGTAAGTGCCGAGTATAGGATAAAATTTGCAGCTCTCCACCGGCAAGTGGTGGCGTCTCCATATGAGTGGAAAATTCTCGAGAGGGACGTTAAACAACATATAACAAACAGATAAGTTGATGTTACAGGGATTTTAAGTAACCTCGGTTAAAGTCAGCATTTTGTAAATTCTGTGATCACATTAATGACCTTGTAAGCAAATATACTTTTAATTGGGTCGTATTTTGCCTGACTTGTTTCATCTCAATTATTAAGCCTTTTTTTTAAACTAAATTTGACTACGGTATATTCCGTCTACCTGATCAATATATAAGGCTCACGGCGGGTGTGACGGATCAGCAGGAGTTGCATACTCCTCCTAGACACCTGATCCCACCTCTGTAGTTTCCATGGGTCCATGATTTATGCCCCGCTCACAATTGATATTGATCACTGTTCGTTGTCTTCACCATGTCACTGTATTTTTACATTCATGGGTTTATAAAGTAAAAGACATAAAAGATGCATATTTACCCATGTTATTTATTTCTCTTTCTCTTAATCTGTGTCTTCTATAGGGGATATCATCCTTCCCCTTGTGAGGCTCCGTTACTGAATTAAAAAGAAAAAAAATATACAAAAAAAAAAGATTTATTTAAGGAATGTTTTTCAGTTTTGTGTGAGTTATTGGTGTGTAAATCACACAGACTTGTCACGTAGGCATATTTCATGAAGCGCGCTAGCGCTTCATGAAAAATATGCCTACGTGCAAGTCTGTGTGATTTACACACCAATAATTCACACTAAGCTTAAAAACATTCCTTATATTTACATTTTACAAGTTCAAAAGCAGCAATATTATAATCAATATTTGAATTTCTTGCTGCCCTATATCGTTACATTTTTATTAACGTCTCTGTAGCCTCATTGTGACGTCACTTTACCGCGAGTTTCACCGTGTATATTTCTACGCGTGAGTATACACAAAAATGAACTTCAAATCAATTGCACAATTGGTTTAGTAGAAAAACATAGCAAATGTAAATATAACATTATGGAACCAGTATATATCCATCTGATTATAAATCATTTCAGTGTCTATTTAAACTTTTTTGGATATATTCTGTTGAATTTTAAACTAGAGATTGACTTTTTCTTGTTAGATGCAAAGAATAAAAATATAAATATAAAGATACAAATTTTAACTATAGTCGTATCGTTAGTAATCAATTAGATGAATATCTTAATACATGTAAGAGTAGTAGACCAGTAACGTCCTTATGTCTTTGTTTAAAAGTTAGTTTCTCAAATAATCAAATTAAGATAGGTCGCGGGTTTGCTTTTGTCATCAGTTTCGATACACAATTTCGACGATTCTAGCGGTTGTTTTGTGCACATTTGATTATGACGTCAATTACGTCACAAAGGCGACGTTGCATTGCTTCCCGTTTATTTCTGAAAACTACTTTAGCAATAGAATCTAGTCCGTACGAAGCATAGAAAGTACATGTTATTGTCTGTAATTGTATTGTCGTAAATGTATGAAACCAGAGTATTATAGGTTTGAATTCTGCTTTGATTATATGTGTAATGTATAAGAACAAACTAATAAAACATAATAAATGCAATGCAAAATGCAAGAATAAATTATATTGAAAATGATTCTAAACTGCTGCTAAAGGTCAATCAAAATGAGTCAGTGTTAAATTAAAGATGTGGCATGCAAAAAGAAAGTACCGTAAATTGCTAAGCCGAAAAATTGAAAGGCCCCTTACAAAAATTTATTATAGCAATTATAGTGAAAACTTTGATACTTTGATTTTCTGTGTAACTTTATTCTGAAACTTTTTTGAGATTTCAAAGCTTAAAATCTCTTAAATTCGATAACAGTAACGTAAAATTTGGAAATAATATGTGAATATACAAATAATACTTCAATTTAATATAAAAATGTGAATATATGAATTAAAGAACAAAAAATATAACGATTTGAAATCCATAGTAAAAATACTTTGACTTACTATAGTGAAAAACTTTGATACTATAGTAAAATATAGTTAACTATGGTTAACTATAGTTAACTATAGTAAACTATAGTGCTTATTTGTTAGGGCCTGTATGTATGCACGTAAATTGCAACGAACGGAAGGTGCGTAATGCACCATGTTTGCTCATCACAGCCGGAAAACAAATTAAATATGTTATTTTAAGGATAAAACCAATCCTCAACACTAAAAACGGATGAAATTTAATTACATAGATAAGAATGCCTAAGATAACACATAAACCCTGCTTATTTACCAAGTAAAAAAATGAAATATGGAATGGCTGATTAACAGTACCATTCTTACAGTCTTACTCTAATTCCATGCAAATTTTCTTTGAAATATCTTTTCAAAGAAGCCTTTGACGGTACTTTTTCAATGTTCTCATGTGGACAAAAAACGTGACTTTGCAGTGTGCTAAACAATCAAGCTTGATTCTGATATCATATTTTGAGTTATTACGTCATAAATATAAGAAAGTGACGTTGATATAAGTGCAACTTTTCCAGCTCTTTTCAATGGTATCAAACGTATTAACTTCCGTGAAATGGTTAATATTCTAGCAAGCAGTTCTCAGAACTTTTCAAATGCCCCTCGTATTTCTATAGTAAAGCGTAAAAATAGTACCGAAAAACTATACCACGTTTACAGTAATATAGCATTAAAACTACGTAGGCAAATTTAATAAAAATTTCAGATAAAATGCCGCAAATTCTATTGGACATTATATCAAATTTTCAGGATATGTTTTCTCGTAAGAATTTTTATGCAGTAAACCCGCGACCTACATTAATTGAAATCTTGAAACACACTAAACACAGGTGAATGAGAGTCTAAATACTTTAGTTAAATGCTTTCAAGTTCATATTTTGTGTTGAATATAAATTACTTTCATACCGCCAAAAGTCTTCTGTTTTCCTCCTCTTATAATGATTACTAGCACACAGACAGCTACGAATAAAAATAGCAGAAATACGCCTATAACTAGGATCCAAACCCATGAATTGTTTTTATCGACATCCCCTGCGATGAAGGTACTCTGGATTCCTGTAGGTCCAATTGTTGTAACTCTTTTTAATAGCAAAAATATCATTTTCCTTATTAGAGGACACATGAATCATAAATCAGTCAATCCTGGATTAAATGTGGTTCAGTCAATAAACGATGAAATATATTTGAGCTTTGTGTAACTTGACTTTTTCTAGATAAATCAGTATTGAACTGTACCATAAATAAGATTTTTTTTTTAAACAGAAAGAGAGAGAAAGACACACAGAGAGAAAGAGAGTCTGGGGGATTTTGAAAGTTTTTCCTTGTGTTACAGAAACGTTTCAATTTTCACTGTAAATTTACTCCAGTTGGGGTCAAGATTGGAACAAATTTGAATATTCATAATAAACAAAATTTTTTACAAAGCTAAACACATTTTTGTTCACGATTTTTTTTGTAAGTATATGACACTTTTTTTAGCATGATGGGAAAAGAAATGAAGTTTTAAAAATCTAGTGAACTGAATTAGCAATATTTGAGATAAATAATTGGCGAAGAGTATTTTTAAATCACATGTGACGTATCAATTTTAGGGTTAGGCTTAGGTAATTTCTCCTAGAAGAAGAACATCTTTTTTGTTTAAAGGATTTTTTTAATGGCCGAATTTGCATTACGTCGAGGTCATTCCCCATGGATCAGCAAATGCTTCGTCAGATGAACAAACTAAATGTCCTCACTCAAAGGAGGGTAAGATTGACCTAGAGGTTCTTGAGAAAGACAAACAGCAAAAGTCAAAAAAAGAAAAATTGTTAGACAATGGGCTTCTTTTGAAAAAGAAGTTCGCTTGAGCCTCTGTGGACCGGTTAACTTATCACATACCCTTGTTCATTGCAGTGAGGCTCAGCAAGAGAACATCTGTTTCCAATAGATAGGCAGTTTTGATCTAGAAAATATATAAATTAATATATAGATATCAACTAAAATATTCTCCTCATTTTATCATAAATTATAAATGTTCGCATTCAATGAGTAAGTCAATTAGGTTTTTTTTTTTTTTTTTTTTTTTTTTAATATGTTTAAAGCTAAAAAAAAACACCCAATTCTCAGTATTCAAGATCACATGGAATTCTGTACTGTAATCTTTTTTTTTGACAGTCTTAATTGTTCTTAATCTGTATCGGAAATACACTCATTTTTCTGTTTATACGATTTACAGCTCTCAAAATGACACGCCTTGACAAAATCTATATTCTGATATAAAATACATGTCTAAACAAAATTTCGAAGACGCGTTTTTGTTCCTCAGTATTTATGCATATTTTTATATGTAATTTTTTTCCTTTGATTAAAATTTTAGACTATTTTGAATTCCTATCTAAGAATATTTTTATGTAAATGTCCATAGTGTTATTTTTAAGAAGATCAATGATAATAAGATATGTTAACCTATAGTGGGCGATATTTATTGAAATATTTTTTTTATTTGCAAAATGCACTATGATAAATTTTAATTGAAGAAAAACGCATTTTAAATTATACGTACATTTGAAAATTTCATCGCTCCAGTACTGCTTATCTGGACATCCATTTTTAAATTGTGGGCAGCTGTAGGCTTCAACAAGAGACGTCGATTTCTTCAGAATCAAACAGATATCTATACAAGATGTTTTAATTTATATTGATTTCCATGTATTCATGTTATTATAAATTATGGATTTACACAATGTCCTCAGACAAATAAAAATATTTGCTTATGTGTTAACTCAGCATCACATCATATAAAAAAGATTTGTATGATTTATTGAACTATAATCATAATTATCAATTAATTATATAACCTTGCCACAATGTTTAGTGTTTACATCTTCTCCTAAAATTAGCCTACGCCTAAATTGCGAGTTGAGATTATTTTACTCTTTTCAATCGGTATCCTTGGATATCTGTAACAAAACTCCAACAGCTCTGTGATGTTCTCGTTAGGTATACACATGTATCCATTACTCTCTGTACAGTTTAGGTCAGATGACCTATTTCTCCATTCTGATTTGTTCCTGGGACAAGATAGTGTGGTATACACTGGGAATGAATAGCCGTACAGCTTACCCTTTGAATTAGAAATGGAGTTGAATTTATCAAATTTGAATGTATCCTATTTTATCAAATTTAAAATAAAATATAACATGTATTCTTGTCATACTGATGTTTTCATAGTTTCATACATATTAAAATGTACAATATTTTTTTTTTTTTGACCATCATTTAAAATTCCTTTTAAAAGTTTACGAACGACAATGGGTCATGACGACGGACAAAAACAGATAACAGAAGATCAACCGAGTGAATCAGGTGACCTAGAAATGTCATGAATAGCATGACCATATGAAGTCATATTACACATGTTACATGTAGTATTTCAGAATCTTCATATAGTATAAAATCAGGTTTGGGTTAATTAAACGTTGGCCCCTTGGGTTAAAGAAGGGCAATAACTGGGGTGTATATTTGACCCAAAAGTTCTTTAATTTTTTTTATACACAAGAGTCTGTATTCCTTGCGGATTCGAGTTTGTATAAATCATGGTCCAAGAAGGGCAGTTTTAGGGGGGTCAATGCTTCAGGAAGGAATATTAGTAAATAAAAATCTTAGGGATGGCAATCGAATAAAGAATTGCTAATCGGTTAACCGCAAGACGTTCCGACAGATTAACCGGTTAATCGTATCAAAATACACACTTTTTTAAAGAATAGTTCTATCCATTACACAAGAAGACTAAAAAGACGTTAGAAGTAAGAATCATTCTGGTTTTCTTCATCAGGAAACTACATGTACATAGATTTTATTTCAATTTCAATAGACAAGAAAGAAATTAAGAAAACCATGAAGCATGCCTGAGAAATCAGACATTGATAACACAAGTTCTATCTGAATTGTCAACATAATCAAAACTAAGTCTGAACCCTCACTTAATTTAAACTGTTTGTCTAATAATATAATTTAAAAGATAACGACAAAAGATAGACACACTTTATTATTCACAGTGCTCAACTGTGTTTTATTTAATATCATTAAAGAATTGCTGGACAGCCGGGTAACGACATAGTGTTTTTAAAAAACAGTAATTATAACTTCACAAAATGACTAATTACCCCCTCGATCTCATATCGGAGAGTCATAATTACCTCCAAATCAGCTTGAATAGATATGTAAAAACGGTAAATTATAAACTTTGATAAAGAGATTCCTTTTTTAAGAAATAAATTTTAAGAATAGTGCATTAAAATTTACATATATTTTATTTTTTCCGACTAACCGATTACAGATTTGCTAACCGACTACCACCGTTCCGACCGAGTAATCGGTTAACCGGTTACAAATTGCCATCCCTAAAAAATCTATTAAAAAGCTAATCTGCAAGAACAGCAGACATACAAAAAGTCATATTGGTATGCAAACATTCTCTTGCAGTGAACATAAATATTTTTCCTGAAGAACATGAAGGTCCATAAGAAAAATTTATATGTAAGCATCTTCATGAATGAAATGTAAACATAACGAACAATAATCATGCTAAAAGTCCAAGCAACCAATACAAATTGTGAGCAGAGCAAACACGGATCTCTGAAAAAAATCAGAGGTGGGTACAGATGCCAAGGAGGAATGAGCATCCTCTGTCGACCGGTCATACCCACCATGTGCTCTTTTCCTGATCGGGTAAACAAAACAAAACATTGACAATTCAGTGTGAAAATAATGGCCTAACAATTCGCATGAAAGACGTCAGTCAACATTCAACATAACGATGAATTGTAATTGCAAACAAGATCATTGTATCACCATAGAATTTGAAAAATGTTGACTTTAAACGAGTTTCTTGATATCCTTGTATCATCAACTTATTCGTTAATAGCGCAGCTCGTTTTAGAAATTGATCGCAGGTAGAACTTTCTCTTGCGTATCGAATCTTTGTATCTAATTAATTTGAATTGTGGCCGTAGGATAGGGTAATGCCAAAATAGACAGTAGGAGTTCTGTATAGTTGTATGTAAGCAAAAGCATCTTTCTTAAGAACAGCCTTGACACAATAAGTCATATTTACATTCAACCGTCTCCGTTTCATGTGGAATCAGCTTTTGATGAGGCATGGTATCACGGCTGCGTTGGACACAAAAAAGGGTTACAGTTTAACTTTAAGTCGAAATATATAATGGAGAAAAAAAAAATCTGTTCAAAGATTCTCTGAACAGCACGGTCATAATTTATCAAATTATTAAACATTTACATATCCTGCATAGTTTTTACAATGGGTCCATGGGCAGGGCAAATTAGCGGAACACAGTTCTATACACAAATAATTATATTGATATTCACAAAAAAAGAGGGTCGCATTTTTAAAAGTAAACATTATGCCCTCTTATACTATAATGTTTAAGTCATATTTGTCTACCAAATACGTTCCATTAATCGCCTTATATATACTAAGTATATATTATTTCCCAGGAAAAGTACAGTTATACTGACTCTGGAAAAGATTGCGTCCCATGGCCATCTTGTTGAAACGGTATAAAATGAACGACTTAGAACTGCTAAATAACAGTTAAATATTTAAAGAACTTAATAAGATCTTAACAACAGAGATCACAATAATTGATTCATTTCATCAGAATTCGTGGATAAAAATGAAAAGTTTCTCAGATACAGCAGGGCCGTGAAGTACAGTACCAACCAGACCCAACCCGACACCAAAGCAGACCCAGAAAGCAGTCCCTGGGACTGCTTTGGGACCGCTCTGGGACTGCTGTGGGACTGCTCTGGGACCGCTATGGGACTGCTTTGTTCACTCATGCGTGAAGAAGGTTCTGAGTGACATGATAGCTCCGCCCCTTGTGTATTTTGAATTTGCAGGCTCCCTGTTGTTGTTTTGTTTACTTTAGCAGAGAGGTGTTTAAAATAGAAATAAAAAAAAAACAGGGATAGTTATAATAGATAGTTAGATAGTAGAGAACGTTATAATTACTAAATGTCTTCTGGGGCTGTAAATTTACAAAATTGTAGTCTAGAATTAATAAAAAAAATGAAAGTTGTTAAAAAAGGGGGAAGTGAAGAAATGATTTTATCCTTCAAATTAAACTTTGATACAGGTGTTTGAAAAGAATATCTAGGCCTATTTAATTAATTAATGTTGTCAAATTATGTACTCAAAGTTTGCATTAGCACTATATAAAAAAAAACTTGATATAACAGTAAGATATCAAGAGGGACATATACTGTATTGGATTTTTTTTAACTATTGAAAAATCTAATGCCATGCTAAAAAAAAGTGCATTCCATGCTATTTCTTTACAGCCCTTAAATAAAACCTAATAATTTATTAAATGACCATGAAATTATGCAACCATTCTTCCGTTACATAAACAATGTTAACAATTATTCGAGGATTTATTTTTAGTTTTTAATTTATAATTAATATATTAAAAGAGTACATTCATTTAAAAAATGAACATTTCTCAAAATATCAGGAATTGTAACTTACGCTATGTATTTCTTATTTGTTTTGTTTGTTTTTACCTGGCCGATTAATAAAAAGCAGTACAATTGTATAAAATAGTGTCAACACCTGAGGTTTCGATAAATCGATCGCCTTTGGACATGTTTAGCAGAAAAGTCAATGCATGTTACTTGGGTATTAGTGTTACACATCACTGAACATGCTGGTAAAAAATGACGCTAATTTAAATCTATGTACTGCAAAAAAAAACCTTCGTTTCAATAAATGTATATAAATTTATTTCGGGATTAATTAATTTTGAACATAATCTGAGGGTTCCATTCGCGTGATTTACAGATGTATACTCAAACGTTTATATAATAAAACACTTAAAACTGAGTGTAATTGTTTTCTGTTACATAGAGAATCTACTGATAATTAAATTGGCAAGTCAGTGAAAATACTCATGACTTAAATATTATACTCGGCAAAACATCACAAAGAACTTTTCAAAAGCTCCAATACTTAAGAAAAATGCATTCAGAGTAGGGTATGGGAATCGGCCTTGCTCTATAGTTATAAGATCTATTGAAAGCTAATTCTGGTAGAACATAAGAAATCCACGGTTAATTTTCAATTAAAAAAAAATAAATATGGAAACAAATCTCAAGGCGGGTAAGGACACCAAGTTGAAAGGTTTCATAGTGGGACCCGTGGCAGTGAGCATAGGTACACAGACTCATGAGGTTGACCTTTATGTCGCCCCCTTGCAGGACCCCATGTTGCTGGGCATGGAGTTTCTTCATGCCCGGAAGGCTCGATTAGATTTAGAGCATGGGACTTTGACCTTGGGAGGGGAGACAATTAAAATGAACTTTGGCCGAACTGAGGAGATTCCGGAGGCCAGAGTGACTTTGGCCCGGAAGGTACGAGTTCCAGCTGGCTCTGTTGTTTTATGCCCCTGTCGCCTGGATCAGAAGCTAGATGATTTTTTGGTGGTCCCTGGCATTGATATGCAGTCTGATGTGCTTCTTATGCCCCATACATACCATGTGGGAGGGGACATTGCAGTAATCTGTGTAGTGAACGCTTCAGATCGAGATGTGACCTTGACGGGGGGTAGCCTTGTTGGTACTGCAGTGGAAGCTGATCCACACCAGCCTGTGCCCTACCTGGTGCGGACAGTAGGCAGTCTGGATGACGGGGATCGGGGGGGGGGGGCAAGAGCCACATCCCCTGAGGTGCCTGAATTTCTGCAGGATTTGTTAGAGCGCTCCTCGGTGGAACTCAGTTTAGAAGAGAGGGACTTGCTGGCCAGTCTGCTCTCGGAATTTCAAGATGTATTTGCTCGGAGCGAGTTCGACTTTGGGAACTTCACCGCATTAGAACACGAGATAGATACCGGAGACGCACCCCCTGTAAAGGAGCGGATGAGACGTACTCCCATGTTCTTTGCTGGTGAGGAGGAATCCCACCTAAAGAAAATGCTGGAGGCTGGTGTGATACAGCCCTCTATGTCTGAATGGGCCTCAGCTCCAGTTCTGATTAGGAAGAAAGACGGTCAGGTCAGATGGTGCCTGGACTTCCGCCGTTTGAACAAGGTGACTCGGAAGGATGTA